GTATTCCCAGACTGAAGCTTAGGCTTGTCAATGTATAGAAAACAAAACACTTTAATCATGCCTGAGAAGCCTTTTTAAAATTTTATATATCCATTACCCCTGTTCATCAAGTGATCTAAGTAGAATGTGGGGTATGGAAACAAAATGAGAGAAACATTCTATTCCCATACTGCGGGGCCGTGCAGTAGGGTCAGATGGCATGGGTGTGTGATGAGCACCGCTCCTCGGTTAGCAAGGCTGCAAGGAGTTTCTGACTGCATGGCAGGCCCAGCAGAATGTCTCTGGTCACCTCATTGCTGTCTCACCCCATTGTATGGAACTCAATCACCTCTCTGATGTTTCATAGAATTCTTCTGAGGGTGCTGTTGTTGTTTTTCTGCTAATGTGAAGTGATTCCTGTAACTGGTATGACACCTCAAATTGATCAATCATGTTATGATAAAAACACCTTTAGTAACATAAGGCTATGACACACAGCTAAAAGTACACAATAGTACAACTGAGCCCACAATGTTTCCAGACATCTCGTTATGTGCCCACTTTTGTCCTGAAGTCTGCCCTAGTATAAGTAATGTTTTCCTTAAGAAACGGCTTGATAATATCTTGGAACACATGGCAATCATGGCAGTACAAAGAGTTCATTTACCATGCACCCCAAATTGTTACAACACATGATATGACACATTTTGGCTTCTCACCACGGAAAGCGGAAAGTATATGGGGCATCTTCTAAAGGGAGACAAATGTGAACCCCCCTAAAAATGGCTTAAAATTTCTACCTTATATTGGCACTTATATTTAGGGAAAGAAAACAGCTTATAAAAACTTCTACTTTATATTGGCACTTATATTTAGGGAAAGAAAACAGTTTATAAAGATAAAAAGAAGTTTCTTGTAAAAGCCCTCTGTAGAATGGCTGAGTTGCCCTGATCTCTTCCGCTGACCTTTAACAAAAGAACAAAGACAACTGAATCAGTACCAGGTGAAGGCGATGGCAAATAGTGCATGAGTGATTATAAGATTTAATAAAGAATCTGTTATATGCTTTTATAAATTCCTTTCATTTATGATATTTTAACTCTGTACTCTTGATATTTTAAGCAATATTAGTTAGCTTGTGTTTAGTGAAAATTGATTTTGAATATAAGTAAATCACTTGTCACTATGTAAATCGCATGTGCTGCCAACCAAGGAGTTCCTGGCTTCAGCCAGGTCATTGCAGGTTTGAATGAGTAATAGCTTGCTGAAAATATTTTCTCTGAAATAAAATAATAATGTTTTTAGGACTGACTTTGTAATCACTTTTATAATGAAGTAGAAATGAAACAACTGGATATTGTGCAAAAGCCTGTAATGATTTGTGTATAAATAAAGAAGGCAACTTTTCTGAGTTGTCCATTCTGAGCATCATGCCATAGTGGTCCATGCGTCCTCTGCCTCTCTGTCCTATTGCCTTATCATCTCACAAATCCATGCATCCTTCCCAAGCTCAAGTCAGCCAGAGCAGGTCTCCAGTACCATACTTCTGATGGGGAGCTATGCAAACCCCTTCCTGCTAACATTGTATGGTATTACCATCTGGTTAATTCACATTGATTTCCCAGAGTTCCGTTTTTACATAACTTCTTCCACAAAGACTTCCCACATATCTCTCATAGTTATCAGTAGCATTTGTGGTATAAATGAATAAAAGTCATAACACTTCATAAACATTCATCATTGCAAAATTGTAAACCTTGAGTATCCATATTATATTTTATGAAGTTGACTCAGAGAAGCTCAGAACATGCATAAAGCAACATATCAACTAATAGAAGAATAATTTCATACAAAATTGGTCAATATGTGTATTTTTATATCTGTACTCCAGTTAAGCTACAATTGAAATAACAAGAGAATTGCTAACTTTGAGTGTTTGGTAAAAGGTTCTCTGATAGCTTTTTAAAAATATATTCTTTCATTTCAATAGCAATATCTTAATTTTCAAGTGAGGTAAGAACATAATTATGAGGAGAATAAGACCATTAGGTGGGGTGATACCTTTATAGAGAAGGGGGTTAAAACACTCATGCCATGAGTAGCCTTAACAAACCTTCTGCAGGGATTGCTGAACATCCCTTTATTTTAGCTAATGTCTCAGACAGAGAAGCTGCTACTACTGCTTCTCTCTCTGAATCTCCAAATCTCGGACAACCACTGTCCTTCTCTGCTCACCTATTCAGTCACAAGCAGCTTCTAGAGTCTCCCCTCTCAATCCAACTGCATCATTTTCAACAAGGATAATTTATTTTTGCCCTGAAAATTCATCTCTATATTTATACAGAAAGATTAAAAATATATATTTACATAAATTGAACAAATTTCATCTATTTCACAATGCATATTTAGAAGCATATTGATAACTCACCTGCCCTCCCTCCTGCCCACATTCCCCACCTACCCTCTTCCTTCATTCTCTTCTTAATTTTTCTAATTTTTACAAGGATGTGTTTTCACTTCACTTTGCAATCACTGGCTTAACCCTACATTACGTACAAAGATAATGACATATAGCAAGTAGGAAAAAAATGGTATTCTTCAGGAGTGTGGACAAAGATGGTAAACACACCCCTTTTAAAATTATTTATTTATCTGAAAGGAAGAGTGACAAGAGGGAGATAGACATGGAAAGAAAAAGAGATTATGTTCCACCATTTTGTTCACTACCTAAATGCCCACAACAGCCATGGCCAGGGTAGGCCAAAGTCAAGAGCATGCACTCCACCCAGGAATCCCACGTAGGAGGCAGTAGCCCAAAGACCTCACTGAATCCCAAGTGCATCAGCTGAACTGATCAACTGAATTAGAAGATACATTAATTGAATTAAAAGCACATAACATCTAGGGTTTCAATCAGGCATTTGCTAGGAGGCAGTGGCTTTAACTGTCCACGTTCCATACAAATTTTAGAATTCGTTTTTGTAATTCCGCAAAAAAATGATATTTTGTTAGGATTTGCATTATATTTGTAGATTGCCTCAGTATAACAAGGAATGCATTTCCATTTTTTGTGTACATGATTATTGCTTTAACTCTTTATGACTTGCACTGTGACAATAGTTCACTTCTTTGGCTAAGAGTATTTCTAGATATCTGAATCTTGTGGCTATCGTGAATGGGATTCATTCGTTGATTTCTCTTGCAGCAAGTTCATCATTGGTGTATACAAGAAGCTCCTGTTCTTTGTATCTTGATTTGTAATCTGAAACTTTACTGAATTGTTTTATCAGTACTAGCAGCCTTTTGGTGAAGTGTACATCAGGTCTTCTGCAAAGGTGGATATTTTAATTTCTTCCTTTCCAGTTTCAATGCCCTTTATTTCCTTATCCTCCTTAATTGCTCTTACTAATACTTCCAATAGTACATATTGCAAAAGTGGTGAATGAGGAAATCTTTGTCATGCCACAGATGACAGAGGAAATTTTTTTCAGTTTTTCTCAAAACAAATGAAAATGTAAACAACATCCCAAAACTTGAGGATATACTGAAAGCAGTATTAAGAGATCAGTTAATAAATTTTAAAATAAGTAAATTTATAATAATAAAAGTTCATATTTTTAAAAAAGAGTTCCAATATATGATGTAATGATTCATCTCAAGGACTTAGGTAAATAAGAACAAAACAAACAAAAATTAGCAGGAAGTGAGAAAGAAGGTTCAGTACATAAATAGATGAAATTTAAACTAAAAAAAGTACAAAAGATTAATGAAATGAAACACTAAGTGGCTTCATTTTTAAGAAGATAACAAAAAATGCACGAACTTTTAACCAAAATAATTAAGAAAGGGAGAGAAATTTCAAATAAATAGAAATTAAAGATGAAAAAGGAAACGCTAAAATGAATACCTCAGAAACATAAAGGATCTTAGGAAGACATGTTGAAGAAGTAGACCTTAAAATTGGAAAAACTCAAAGAAATGGATAAATTCCTGAATATCTATAACTTAGAAAGATTAAATCAAGGTAGTATAGAAAATCTAAACAGACTTACAAAAAAAAATGCGACTGAAGGGGTAATTTAAAGTCTCCCATCAAAGAAAAGTTAAGGATCTGAAGGCTTTACTACAAAATAATACAAATCATGAAAGAGAAAGTAATCAACACTATTGGAAAATGCTGACAAGGATGGCATGCTCACTCTGATACCAAGTTCATGCAAAGACACAACAGAAAAAGAAAACTATAGTTACAATGCCCTTAATGAACATACATGCAGGAAATCTCAATAAAATATTAGACAACTGAAAGCAACAAAACATCATAAGGTCATACATCATAATCCTAAGTTATACGCCAAAGTTCTGGTCAACTAACTTTTGTAAACAGTGCCATGAATGGGCCTGGCATGGTAGCCTAGAGGTTAAAGTCCTCGCCTTGAACATGCCGGGATCCCATATGGACTATGGTTCTAATCCTGGCAGCTCCACTTCCCATCCTGCTCCCTGTTTCTGGTCTTGGAAAACAGTGGAGGATGGCACAAGGCCTTGGGACCCTGCACCCACATGGGAAACCTGGAAGAAGTTCCTGGCTCCTGGCTTCAGCTTGGCTCAGCACCAGCCATTGCGGCCACTTGGGGAGTGAAACATCGGATGGAAGATCTTCCTCTTTGTACATCTGACTTTGCAATAAAAATAAATCTTTACAAAAATCCTGCAGCAGTAGCAAATTAATTTAAAATGATTGGTTTAAATAAAACATGCAGCTATTTTAAACACATTAATGCACATTAATAACAGAATTAATGTGCAAACAAGACCAAAATTTTGAAAGCAGACTGTAAATGACTGAGATCTTCACAACGATACTCTATATCATACTGTGCTAAGAACTGTGCTAACCATTGAACCAGATGTTGCAGAGAAATTATTCAAAAATGTTACTGCTAGTATTTCACTGCTGCCTAGAAAATATCTGTGTTGACTTATTGAAAACAGAAGTCATACACAGGATGGATATTTTAAAAAATACGGAATGCTTCATGAATTTGCATGTCCTTGCACAGGGCTCATGCTAGTCTTCTCTGTATTGTTACAATTTTAGTATATGTGCTATTGAAGCAAGCACTGGATGCATATTTTTAAAAGGCTTATTTATTTTTATTTGAAAGACAATTTTACATAGAAAAACTAGAGCGATCTTCCACCCTCTGGTTCATTTCCCAAACGGCCAAAGCTGAGCCGATTCGAAGCCAGGACCCAGGAGCTTCTTCAGGACTCACACATGAGTGAAGGGAACCAAGGACCCAAGCCATCCTCTGCTGCTTTCCCAGGGCATAAGTAGAGAGCTGGATCAGATGTGCAGTAGCTGTGACTAGAGCTAGCAACCACATAGAGTGTTGGTGCTGTTAAAAAAACCCTTAATATACTAAATTCACATTGTGTTTTAATGTATGTGTGTATGATTGCAGAGGGTTCCCATTAGAGTCACCACTGAATGAATATTCATTAATTCAGTAAGGAGCTAATGATATCTACATTTTGGGGCTTGTCCTGTTTGTTAGATTTGCAAATCCCATGAAATTTAGTACTTTCTCTCAAGGATCTTGGTGGGAATGGAAGAGTGGCAGAAAAAAAGTATGAAAGCTAAAAAGAGGCAAATGTGCTTAATTAGAAGTCAAGGTATGTCCCAGTGAGCGCAGAAAGGAGGACAGAGCGACAGGAGACTGGGAAATACAATAAACTTGTGTACTAACAAGGTACACTTTTTAAAAAAATCGAAAACTGCTCAGACACTGAAAATGCTCACCTGTACTTGACAATTCCATTGATCATTGGGTTTACAGCCTTGATTCTCTTGATATAAGCCTGAATGACATCTATACATTTCACCTGAAATTAACAGTAAGTTAGTGGGATTTAGTTATGGAACAATCAATTTAATATACATTTATTGAAGATTATTATTTAATTTTAACATATAATTGCAGTTTTAGTAATTGAGACACAACACAGTAAACATTAGAAAATTACAAAGTAGAACTCTCAAATCAACAGGAGAGACAAACATAAAATTAAATCAAGACAAGGAGGAGGGAGTTCAAGTTTCAGCATTACTTTTTTTTAAAAAGATTTATTTATTGGAAAGTCAGATATACAGAGAGAGGAGAAACAGAGGAAGATCTTCCGTCTGATGATTCACTCCCCAAGTGAGCGCAACGGCTGATGCTATGTGGATCCAAAGCCAGGAGCCAGGAACTCCTTCTGGGTCTCCCACACAGGAGCAGGGTCCCAAGGCTTTGGGCCATCCTCAACTGCTTTCACAGGCCACAGGCAGGGAGCTGGATGGGAAGTGGAGCTGCCAGGATTAGAACCAGGGCCCATATGGGATCCCGGTGTGTTCAAGGTGAGGACTTTAGCTGCTAGGCCATGCCGCCGGGCCCCTCAGCATTATTTTTGATTCTAGTTTCTTGCTAAGATGCACCATGGTAGGCAACAAGTAATAATTAAAGTAACTGGTTTCTTACCATGTACATGGGTCACCACATTGAATTCTTGGTATTCTCTCCCCCTCTTCCTTTGTTGTGGGCTGAGGAGTTGATTAGCATTTGTTAAGCTTGGCTCCTGCAGGAAATGGGCTTGGAGGCTAGTGGCACCTTGTCTGTCAGACTCATTAGCATCCTATTGTTCTGCTAGAGGCTTGGGGAAAAGGTATATATGGCTGAAAAAAGGGAGGTTCGGAGAGACCTCTTCCACCACTACTGGTCTCCTGTCGGTGTCTGATTCCCTGACCCTTGCCGTGTCCATGCCACTGGCCAAGCTGGCCGGAACAGGTGGCGCCTAACGTGGGGCACGACACGGCACAGCACGGCACGGCATGAACATCTGAGGGACCCCTGGACCTGCGAAGGTAAGTTTAGAATTTAAGAATTTTGCAAAAAAAAAAAAAAAAAAAAAAAAAAAAAAAAAAGAATTTTTCAGGGGCATTATTGATTTAATCCCCAGACCCTCTCCCCATTTAGGGGCACGAGGGACAATCTGAGGGACCCCTGGAACTTTGGAGGGGCATTATTGGTTTAATCCCCAGACCTTCTCCCCATTTAGGGGCACGAGGGACAATCTGAGGGACCCCGGAGATGCAGAGGCAAGTTTAGGATTTAACTTTGGAGGGGCATAATTGATTTAATCCCCAGACCTTCTCCCTGTTTAGGGGCACGAGGGACAATCTGAGGGACCCCGGAAATGTAGAGGCAGGTTTAAAAATTTTCGCAGGAACATAAGTAAATTTATCAGGGAGCAATAATTCGCTAAAATGCAGGTAATTAAGGGAGTCCGAGATCTGCTCCACTCACAAGGCACCGACAGTAAGCTTAAGGCCTCGCAGAAGTTCGTTGAAACTATCTGTGACGTATCCCCATGGTTTGCTCTCCCTGTAGCCACCTTTTTCCTCTGGCACTTGGTAAATATTGCTTTGTCATCCCGTCAAGCGGTGGTGCATCCCTTCCTTCAAAAATTATCTGTAGGAAGGGGGAGGGAGCCGCAAACCAGAGTAAGTAGACAGAAGGAACTCCAAACCAGGGTAACAAAGAAGGAGCTGCAAGGCAGGAATAGCAGACAGAAGGAACATCGAACCAGAATAAGTAGACAGAAGGAATTCCAAACCAAGGCAAATAAGGAAAAGAAACCGCAGAACAGACAAAGTCTAGAGCAATTGTGCGAAGTAGATTCAGAGTCCTCTTCTGAGGACGAGGAAGGGGTAGAGGATGGAAGTGAGTCTTCCGAGGATCCCCCGCCCATTGGAGGTTTGGCTGAATGCTTTTGCTGTCTGCTTTTTGATTCATCCAGACCTCTAATACCTGAATCTTAAGTTTTCTGTTGCCTGGTTGTCCACCTGTTACATATTTTTATAATATGATCAGGAAAATAGGTACAGTCAAGAAAAAAGATTTTACAGAACTTGTCCTGTAGGCTTGCAAATTGTACTTTGGTAGGTCTTTTGTTGTGATAAATGTTTGGCAAGCTAGCTTCATCTGCATATCCATGGCCCATGGCAACTTTTGGGGTTTTAGAATTCTAAAGAAATACAAGTAATGCAAGGCAAATCTCTTAAGTTTCATTTGTGATATTTTCAAAAATGTGAAATTTTATCGCAAATAATTTGTTTTAGAAGTAAACTCTAACGCAGTACTAAATTATTTCAAGGTATAAGTTAGATTAATGTGGTATTGTATACAAAGCATTTTTATACTTTTAAATAAGTCTTGTGTTTTTGGCTGGTTATCAAATTTCTCACTGCTTTAAATTGGTAAAGGTTTTGTATTTGTTTTAAAGGTATTTGAGTGATGATTCGTGTCAATAACGGAGTCTAATCTATAATGCGTTATACTAACAACAACAAAAACCTTCTTTTAGATATTTTTAGCCATCCTTAAAGAGGCATCCAAGAATTCAAGTTTCCAATTCTAGGGTTTCCCTTGGTATTCGTATAAAGCCTCAAGAATGCCAACAAATTTATCTCCCGTTTTGTGGAGACAGTTGATCAGGCTGATTGGATTAAGATTATTGCTAAATGGAATAAAATTTTGTCGTGTCAAAATGTTGTATACATCTATGGAGTTGTGAAAGTTTAAATCCTAGTTTACACACTTTTAATGGTTTAGCTCTGCAGTTGTATCTGGTTATTCACTATGTATTCTTAGCATAGCTATTTTACTGAAAAGACTAAAATTCGCATTCTTATTATGATAAAAGAATTTCTTAAATGTGACTTTTCTTTCTCAAAATCGTGGTTCAAAGCTATTTACTTGATGGTTTTTCAGCTACTAGTTTCTGGTGAACACTACCACCACTAAGTTTAATTGAGAACAATTTTTTTTTCAAGTCTCTAAAAGTGTGTGTCTCTGTGTGTGTGTGCGTGCGCACATGTGTGTCTTAAGTTTGTCTTCTGTATAAGTTGTTTAGAATTGTAATAATATATTACTGTCTCCTTATTAGTCAGAAAATGTTCTCTTTTTGTGAATTAAGTTTAAACTTCCTGTAGGAAACATTTTAAAAAGCAGGTAAATTTACACATCTGTCTCATCAGCTATCTGGATCCTTAGCTGCAAACCCAGGACACATAATTTGCATATCAATAGTAAATGCAGGTTGCCTTGAGCTCTGAATTCTACAGATACTCCCAGAGCTTTCTGATAGGACTGTGAAAGTATCTAAATGATTTTAAAACTTTGCTACAAACTCATTTACTTTGAATAAAGTTATTAGTTGACAGTTTTCACTCTCTACTGTCCCCATTAGAGTAAGCAACCTGGTAGCTCAAATCTAAGCCTTCCTTGCTTACAATCTTCAAGGACAGATATTATGGAAAGTGCCAACCGTACTATTTAGGATTATCTTACTAAAACTAAAAAGGGGGAGTACAGCACTGCCCGAGATCATTTGAACCTTGTATTATTTATCTTAAATTTCCTAACATTGGATGCTGAAGGACGGTCTGCTGCAGATCATCATTTGAGTCTGTCTCATAAGGAGAAGGGTTATGTGATGTGGAAGGACGCCTTGACTGGTCAGTGGCAAGGCCCAGATCCCGTCCTCATATGGGGGCGAGGTTCAGTTTGTGTTTTCCCAGAAAACGAAAATGCTCCAAAGTGGATTCCTGAGAGGCTTGTCCGGCAAGCTCCTGCTGCTGAGTCTTGTGAAAGCTCGGGTACTAGCCAAGATGATGGCATTTGAATCGGAAGATCGACGGGACAAGCAAGTATATTAGACCTTTATATAAGTATATTAGTATTTGGTAAGCACCCCTCTCTTTATCTTTTCTTTGTCTTATTGCGAGAGGAGTTAGATTGGGTACCCAAGTCATTTTCTCAAAAAATTTAAAATCCCCCACCATGTCTTAGATTTACCAGAGCACATCTCTCCCAAGGGACAAGGATGCTATTAACATATAAATTCCCCACCTGAAGCCATTGTGGGAGGGCCTCAGGCCGATCTCTTTATCATTGAAAGGAGGGCAGGAAGAAGTAATACACATCTGCCCTAGGCCTGGAATGTCCTATGCCTGGCACATTTGTGGCCTTTTGTCCCAAGGCAAAGTGCCATGGAAAGCAGGAATTTTCTTTGTTTATG